TTATTCTATAAAATAGAACATAATTATGGAATACTAAAATTATCTGTTTGAAGTACTAGCAAAATTTATTTTGAAAAAAGACAACATATACCAAAGGAAAACTAAATTGGCATACTTTAATTCTACAAAAATGTATAAATATTTAAATTTACAGCAAAAGAACAATTATACCATTTAGTAATGCTCACAACATTTAAAATGTTTAAATCTTTATGCACAATCCTCTTTTATAAATGTTAAAGACTGTGTGGAACATGTCTAAACATTTTTGAGATTACGTTCTCTAGCTGTGACTACACTGATTTTCAAACCAGAAGGTCCCCACCCTTCTCAAAGAAAGTTCTGTGGTTACGGGGTCCTGTTTCTCCCTTGTGCTATTTTTAGATGAAGGAACACCAGGACCCAAACAGCATTGTCTTTAAGTTTTAACCTCACCATTGAACACAGGACAAAAATTTTAGTTTTGAAACATCTGTTTCAGACACATTTTAGATGAAACAATATCTAATATTTTTTTTCATTCTAACTCACCAGACATAGCAGAATGATTCATTCTCCCATAATAACAATGGCAGTAAAGCATTACTGTACATAATGATGACCCAATTATCAAAGAGTGGTACTCAGCTTAAATATATTGACAGAAGACTGTGTTGAATCACTACTTTCTCAGGGGGATTTTAAAAATAGATTAAATGAAAATTTCTTTTAAAATTTAGAAAACACTAAAAAACAAAAATTGGGGTCAGGTCTATACCAACTAGTTAAACAAATTGCTAGTCATCCAACATCTTAGCTGTCTACAGTATTTTATATTTGATAACACTCTGAAAATGGTGTAGTCAAACCAGACACTCATATGCTATACAGAAGAAATGTCCCTATCTGACATAATGGGAGCTAGTGACTGAATTTTGAAATACAAGCTGCATTGACACACTGAATCCCTGCTGTCCAACTACACTGGACATTTAGTAGAAGTTCTAAGTTTTCAGTTGAACAAAACATCTCAAGGATAAGGTTCATATTTGGTGAGGTCTTTGTTTTCTCATATTTATTCAAATCATTATGCTTGCAATTTAAGAATGCATTGAATTTTGCCTCTTTTGAAACTAAAACTTGAATTCTTAGATAAGATACAAGTGCAATGCCTATGACTATGCCTGTTCACTTCTCAAATAGAGTAGCAATATGTATGGGAGCAAGTCAATATTCTGAAGTTTGCTTAAGTATCCTTAACCTCTCACTAATTTTTAAAAAAATTATTAAAAATCAGTTATGCTATTTTATTATAGCAGTTTATTTTCCCTTCTTCTCCCTCCTTTGTTTTCCTTATTATTTATTGGGCTGTTTCTAAGCACTAAGGAGAAATCAAATTTACATATTATGCTTATAACAAAGCGATCTTGGGAGGCCTAGAAATGTTTTCTTGTTTCTCTGTATTCTGCAAAGCTGTAAACACAGAACTCATTCAGTGTTCACAGGAATGGATGGTTTAAGAGTCTGTAGGTCAGCCTCACTTTATCTTCAAGAGAATTACAAGAAAACAGATGAAACAGAGTTCTACCAGTTACTAATGAAAAACTTGATGCTGCTTTCCTCGAACCATTTGTTTACTGGTGCTAGGATGTTCTACTCTTCTGTAAACATTATATTTTCAGGGAAAATAATCACTGTGATGCAGGTCTATTTCTATTGTCTGTGGTCTTATTTTATTGGACAAATTTTATGAAACAATAAAAAAACAGTAAGAATCAAGTTACTAATAAAAGAGATTTTGGTGAAGGTTATTTTTTCCATTATTGTGCATTTATATATTTTGGCAGTAGTTTTAGGAGTCTTGGCAGCTTAGTTTATAACTCTATGATCTTTGGGCAAATTACACTGTATGTCCATGGCTCAGTTTTCTCATCTATAAACACAGAAATTAATGGTATAACATCTTTAATGCTTTAAGGTTTCTATAATATCTTTTGTTAATAGATTTTTACATTGAAAATAAACTTTATATAGTCATTGTCAAAACATAAAAATAAATATGATTTTGAAAGAATGTATTATCTCCTTTCTAAGACTCAAAATCTTAGCCCTTCTGTGATCAACCTAACACAACCAAAAAGCTGAAACTATATTTTGTTCAGTTAAGTGAAGCAACTCATATCTTAAAGCAGCATTTTAATAAAATGATATATTTCATTTCCATAAGGCAGGTGATTTTAACAGAGATGACAACATATAGTCCTTTAATATGAAGGATTTTAAAAAAAATTTTCATTTGGAAACAAAGCTCTAAAAGTTTTCTGTAAAGACATTGCTGGACACTACAGTTTTAAATATGAAATCTTACGATACAACGCTTCTTAACAACTTCAACACACTCTTAATCTCGTTAGTTTAAGAAGTATAATTAGTGTATGCCAAGAGATAACAAAAGAAGCTAAATATAGTCAGTGGGCAAAACTAATATAAACCTTGGTTTATAAAAGACTTAAATGCCTGGGTTTGTAGTTTGGCGATAGAGTGCGTACCTTACAAAAATGTGGACCTGGCACTGAAGTCAAAAGATGTAAATAAGTGTAATTGTATTCCCAAGTGGGTGTTTGAGCCTGGCAGAAATTGATGTAAATAAAAGAGTAGTTTTAGTTTTGGTCAGAGGGATAGGAGCAAGAAATTGCAGACTAGACAAGAATGTTAGTTATACCGAATAGGTAATGTTTGAAAAGAAACCTAAAAAAATAAAAAGAATGACATGTATGGGACAGATAGAACCAACCATAAAGCAGAAATATGCTTGGTATCCAGAACAGAGTAATGCAATAAAAGATGGTAAGAGATTAGAAAACAGAAATGTCGCCAGGCACTGGTGGCTCACACTGTTAATTCTAGGACTCAGGAGGCAGAGAACTCTCTGAGAGTTTGAAACCAGTCTGGTATACAAAAGCTAATTCCAGAACAGGCTTCAAAACTACAGAGAATACCTGTCTCAAAAAACAAAGTGAAACAAAAGAAACAGAGATATCAATGCATTTGCATGTACACACGTGTAAATGCTGTTATGCACATATCCATGTGCAGAGAGTTTGTGCATATATGTTTTGTGGAATGCACATAGAGACATGATTTGAAGACTATGAGATGAGTTGAAAATTAACAAGAAGGTTATGTTCAGGGAAATGAAAAAATTCCTTTTTAACAGTATCTGTGTGCCTGTTGTAATTAAGAAAACAAATGTAGCATTGGGTAAGATTTGGGGAAAATGCAGGATTATATGAAGGGATTTAGAAGGTCAGAAATAGTAACATACAGTAGATGTGGCAACAAATTAATGGCTTCTGGTTATATACCAAAAAAAATAATTAAGTTAACTTCAATTTCCAGATGGTTAGACTCAATTTGCCCAACCTTTTAACATTGCAACACGATGTTGTCATCTACAAAATCAACACTTGACCACAATGTAATCAGTTATCAAAAAAAGTGTGGATTTCTAAACATATCTTAAACAAGTTCAAATTTTGATTTGCGCCAAGTTCTAGTTAATTTTGGCTGCAGGCAGTTCCATGCAGGTAGGACAGGATTGAAAAGTCTGAAAGAGAAAGAAAGGTCAAAAGTGACTTTGCTTATTTTAAACGTGTATCATGTGTGTGCACGCTCACACAAACATGATGTGAATGCACATGTGGAGGTCAGAAGCCAATCATAGGCATCATCACTTGATTTTAAGGACACAATCTCTCATTTGACCTAGAGTTTGCCAATTAAGCTAAGCTGGATGACCAGGAAACTCAAGGAATTCACTGGTCTTCACCTACCCAGTGTTGGGATTGAAAACACATGCCAGCACATCTAGTGGTTACTTGCTTTTTTAAATATAGGTGCTTGGAATCAGACTCAGGTCCTCATACTGGACCTGAGCACTTTGCCAACAGTGTGAAAGATCCCTCAATTCTCAACTCTTTAGTTTTGATTTGAGTATCCTAGAAGGTGAAACTGCGTTTGTCCTTATGAGAAAAACCCAGAGGAATGTATAGACTGAAGCAATTAAAAAATCTACTTGCCCGGATCAGTGTGTGTGTGTGTGTGTGTGTGTGTGTGTGTGTGTGTGTGACTGTGATTCCAATCAAGGCTTTAATTTATTGTACTGAAGGCAAATATTTTTGAAAAACTTAAATCTTTCTAGTTTCGATGTTCTATATAATTTTTTCTCTCCACTCTCTTTTTTTTTCTTTTCAGACACTATGCCGCATATATCCAAGTCACCTGATGAGCCTGTGAGAGGGTTTCTTGTGTATTACAATGTGACCATAACAAATTTTCATTTACGTAAAATGTGGCTTAGAGGCTTCAAGTTTAGCTCCCTTAAGTGATTATAGTCTTTCAAAATGTCATTGACCACTCTCTCTGCAATACGTATTCCGACTGCCATAAGTAGAAGACATTATATAATGAACTTGAGATTTACACTTCCTAATTTTTAGAAAAATAGTATATGAGGGTATTTCATGTTTATTTGAGTCAGGACAAGAAGAAAACACAGGAGAAAAGAGTGGAGACTGCAAATGGACATGCTCCTAGGCTTCAGGTGACGTGAGTGGTCATGAACAGGTTAACATCAACTGTCTTTTGAGAGCCATGGGCTCCTGTTAGATATGGTATAATAATGTCTATCCCATGAATAAAAGCTCTGATATTAAATCTTTTGTCTAAAATGTTGGTAAATCTAGGAACTTCTTGAAGTTCTTGGAGTAAAGGATGCCTGAGCTTTAAGCAGCAAACCTGAAGCATTCCAAGTTGGATTTTTCTCACAATTCAAACATTATGGAATCAAAGTGGAAGGGAAGGCATCTAGGAAAATAAAGGTCTTGAGAAAAATTTATTTTAATTCTAAAGGTTTTTTTTGTGTATGTGTATGTGTGTGTGTGTGTGTGTGTGTGTGTGTGAGAGAGAGAGAGAGAGAGAGAGAGAGAGAGAGAAAGAGAGAGAGAGAGAGCAAGGTGGTAGAAAAACAGAGAAAGATAGAGACATAGACAGGAGAGAAAGACAAATATAAGAGGGTGTGGATAGATAAAGGAGGTATAGCTAGCCAATTAATGCTTTTTCTAGATAATTTGAAACAAAAGGTCAAAAGAACGGACTTTCTACTCTTGAAGAATCTTCTTCTATTTCCAGCCCAATAGAATTCCTCTAGCTACTAGAGACACAAATCAAATGTATATACACAACAACTAGATGGCCACTTAAATATTAAATATAAAGATTTGTTGACATTCCATCACTGCATCTTTTTCACATCAGTATGTTCATTGTGAACAAAGGAATTTTAAAGTTGAAATAACACATGATATCCCCTAAATAAGACTGAGCCACATTTCAATCCAAACCATATCTAATAGTTTAATTAATATCACTTTAATGAATTCTCATAAATTTTGTTTTCCAATGATTGATGTTCGATTTAACACTATAGCAATAAATTATTCTAGTGCCATACTTTTTAAAATAAAATACAAAGTGCCAATGACATCACCAACTGAACTAAAAGTGATAAAAACAGTTTTAAATTGAATCTAAAAGGTCACCTTTCACCTACAGTCCTAGAGTGAAGGGAAATGGTACAACTTTGTGTATGCAGACAGAAAGGGCAGCTGGGAATTCAGACCTTGAAATCAAGTCTCAGAGCGAGACTGTCCTCATGAGAAGGTGAAGCTTCTCCCCCAGCGATTCCTGGAGTTTATAATGCTTTTGTTTTTCTCGATATTGGATTCACACTCTTCACTATTAGACTTAAATTTATTATTTAAAATAAATTTCAAAGTCCTTTATTTGGTATGATAATTTAGTATTCTATGAATTCAGTAGCAAACTTAATTTTTTTCCTTGTACTGATCATTTTGTGTGATGAATTTAATGCTTAAGTGTTCCAACTGTTAGCATAGAAATTCACCATGGTTCCATGAAGCATTTTTTAAAAAGAAGTTTTATAAAGCAATGATAATATTTCATAATTAAGATATAGTATAAGGCATTACATGATATCTCTTTTATCATTATTACAACATAAAGTAAAAAACACCAACCCCAAGTAACCCTGTGACAAGAGGCTAATAAAAGACATTTTAAAAGGAAACGCAAAGTGTATTTTTTTCCCCAAACAGTTCAAATGTTTAATAACGGTATCCTATTACTTATATTTTATGTGCTTCTTCAATCAGATACAAATTTTAGTAGGGAAATAAACATTCCTAAAAATGAATTATAAACAACTGTGTTTTAGAATACTAAAAGTATTTTTTAAAACTTTTAATTCAGCAAAGTTAATAATTTCACCAAATCAAAACAATGGATAAACAAAAGTGTAGAGATGTTCACATCTTGGGAGAAACGGTCTTCATGCCCCCAAGGTCATGTTCCTCAGCAACCATTGTTGAGATCTGCTGCCACTGCAGTCCTGCATTGTGGGCACCATCTTGTCTTCTTCAGAAGGTTCATCAAGACATTGGTTACTGTTGACATGTCTCAAAGTGAGTCTCTGCAAAAAGAGAAGCAACACTCAGTAACTTACTAGCAACTAGAATAAAGGTTCTCTTCAAAAACACTCTATATCATTTCAATATGCAGTAATATGACATGTTTTTAAAAGGAACAGTGGACAGATGTCTCTAAATTACATATATAACTTTGATCATAAAATGATTGCTTTGTCAAATACACCATCATTTGAGGGTGGTTAAAGGAATTGACTGACATTTGTTATAGATTGCTGGAAATTAAGACATCTTTGCCAAAAGTTTATTAATGACTTTGAAGTTCAATTGAAGGTGACATATATTAATAATTACGAAGAAGCTTGGTTTTCTAGTCAGCAATAATTTGATCAATGCAGAAGTCAACAACACAACTGGTAACCAAATGAACAAAATAGCCAGAGATAATCATATTAAAAACTTCTAATCTATGATATCTTAGACATTAACTATAGACCAATAATTAGTGTACCCAGAAATAATCAATCTACCTTTGTGGGATGCTTATCATATTTAAGCAAATTTATCAGCATCAAATTGAAACAGGGGATAATGATATACCTTATTATCTTCACAGTTCTAGTAATTGTACTGTGTTCAGTCATTATGCAGCTTTTCTTTCCAATTATAATCAAATTCACTTTTTGGAACTTCACAGACTATATGCTTTCAAGTTATCAATTACTTATCATTTTGCTAATTCCATGGACCATGCCCAGAAACACAGAAAAAGATCTTCATCCTAAAGTGCTCTTACGCATGTGAGGTAATTGGCAAGTTGTTCTTGAAAATTGTATCGTTAACACTGTTTTGTAAATTACCAAAACTAAAAGTTGGGAAAGTTTTCTTTTTATAATGTTTTCTTACACTTGATAATATGTTGGGGGTATGTGTGATCGACACAGAGAAACATCTGTAACTTGTCCTGTGTTTCGCTGTTGTGAAAAAAGGCAGAACAGAGGACAGGCTGCTGGGAGAGATGTCTCTCTGACCACAAGCAGGAATTAAAAGGCTAGGTGTTTAAAAATGAAGGTAATGTCAAGATTGAAGCCTCTGTTGTCATTTTTTAATACAGAGTCTCAAGTCATTTTTAGCAAAAAAAAGAAATAAATGAATTAAAAAGAAATTGTCTAAGATAGCAAGAAGATGGCTGGTTTATTCTTACAATGACAGGAAATTCAAAGATTAGCCAGTTTTAAAATTAGATACAAAATTAAACAAAATCAATATTTTCCTTTAAAAAAGTTGTTGGTAAGATCAGCAGCAACAAAGAAAATTATCTCTATATCAGATTTGAGTCAATTTATGTGTACATTCTCCTTCAGAAAAGCATTTCCCATTGTGTTCTAATAGTTTCCCTTTAAAAACAATTTTTTATTTATTGAGTAGGTTACCACACAATGAATTATACAATGTACTGTCATTACTTTATTGTAGTATAATCATTTATCACAGTATTTGAATGATTTGGTCAATTACTGTATGTCAAATTGGAATAAAGAGTTTTTAAAATTACATAGAATATTTTTTAATGCCACAAATAATGTCAGTACAGAACGTTCTAGTTAGTATTGTTCTTTCTAATCAATGTTTATTCTCCTTAAAAAAACTTGTTAATAGTTAAAACCCACTTCTCAAATGTAACAAATGAACAACCAAAAAACCCTTCCTAATGTAGAACACTAGAAAGCCAAATATTTCAGGCTCAAGCATTCCTGAGTGTGAATTAATTTCTCTCTTTTACTAGGTTGGGCACCGGGAAGCCACTATCATTATTCTGAAGACTCTGATTCTTCATTAGAAAACTCTAAGTTACATTTAACAAATGTTCACACATCTCTTTCCCCTTCTGCTCAAGCATTTGAACTTTGATCATAGAACTCTAAGTCCTTAGAAACCATGTAAGAGTAAAACTGCTAACTGTGTTTTTAGGCATCATGGTTAAAAACACGTTTTTAGGCATTTCGGATCATCGTTTTTTGAAAAAAAAAATGCCTGTAAATGTCCACGTGTGTGTCTGTCAGCAATCAAACTGTGGGCTTCTCTAAGAGCAGAAACTTTTAAGTTGGTTCCTATGCACTGAGTTTATGGAGATTTTACCAGAGCTACCATCTACTTTGAGCATGATTGATTTCCTCCTCTGCCAGGTGGAGATCTGGACACCTTGTGTAGAATGTGACCTTTGGGAAAGCTAGCTAGTTTCCAGAAGCTGCAGGAAGCCATGAGGGAACTGCCACAGGCTTCCCTGCTGAGATGCTACTGTCCTAGCTTTCAGTGGTAGACTCGGGAGGTAGAGGCATGCAGATCTCTGAGTTCAAGGCCAGCCTGGTCTACGGGGTAAGTTCCAGGATAGCGAGGGCTACACAGAGAAACCCAGTCTCAAACCCGGCCCTGCCCCCCCCCAAAGACAAACTCAAATATTATATGTAAATTGCCTTCTGGCAATTCTTCATCCAAACGGTTTGGTTGCTCAAACTTTTCCATCTCTTGTTTGGATTGTCCATGATTCAAATACACTCCAATTCAATCAATACCTGTTCTGCCCTCTTGTCTCCTTGCTTCTGTTTTTAGCAATGCCACAAGCAGTGAAGTTCAATTATACATCAACAGCTTTAACTGGTTTATTGGAACCAGAAAACCTCTAGAACCTCCCATGCATTCCCACAGCCAGTGGTTGAACAAAGAGAAATCTTTTTTTTTATTGCTTTTTAAAAAAAGTACCTTAAATCCAAGAATTCAAAATATGTTTTTATTTGTAACACTTACAAAAATATTTCACAGACGTTTATTGACTTGAACTGAATAAAATCCACTTAACTATTTAATGAGAAAATGTCACCATTTATGAAAATGATAAATAAAATGCATGCCTTTGAAGAGCTTTGATTTTTAACTGTATCACCTCTCTAACCACAAAAGCCACGTGTAGATATGCATTTTCCATGAGCTGTACAGGGTAACTTAGTAAAGAATTTAATTAGAGTCTGAGAAGAAAGCAAAGATAATTTACAAAATATCTGATGTGGTACACACACACACACACACACACACACACTCTCCCTCACACATACACACACAGTTGAGCCATCTGAATAAAACATAACGAAACTAAATAATTTCAAAGTTTCAAAATAATTCATTTTTAACCTATGTTACATTTAGTCACCTTTTCACCTTTTACATACAATTCATTTTCATACAGATGTGGTTAGTGTGAGACTTAAACAGAATAAATATTTCACAATGTATCTAACCCATTATATTCACAGACGTATACACACACACACACACATATGCATATTTGAAATAAAAACTGGAAATACATTTTTGTTCATGAAGACTAATTATTACTTAAAATATACAGTCTCCAAATTAACGAGCAACTAATAAGTAAAAGCCAAAAAAATAATGCCATAGAACATCTTAATAAAATTTCATATTTTGATAACTAAAGTAAATTTAAGAAGTCTGAAACACAAACCTCTACAAGCATTAAAGAAAAAGATCATCGGTAAGATTTCCAAATATATTTCTAAAAACTTCTTCTCTCGTATAATTTCTTAGTAGCCATTTTTGCGAAGTGCTATCATTACAGGTCTCCGTGGTAGGATGCTGGGAGCCATCCGCCACTTTGCTTACTGAGAGGCAGGACTGCATGATTATGTGAACAAAAGAGTGGGTCTGTTTGACAAAGAAAATAATGAATAATGACAAAAGAAGTACAAAGGCAGTAATAAATCAATCATGGCAGACAACATACAATTTCGCCTGGAAAAGGATGGGAGACACATGTCACAATAATTGCATCCATGAGGCAGTGAGTGGCACCCTTTCAGACGGCTTTAATATCAGTTTTACTCAGTAGAAAAAAAAATGGAGTTAAGACAGATTATTAAGGAGGAATTTGACTTCAGATGATAGAACATTTCAGGCAAAAGTTACTTTTGATAGAATTTTGTCCTTATAATCGCATAATCAATACATTTTTGTGCCAAGTGAGTTGTTCTGAGAGAGGTTATTCAGAATAATGAACACAGAGAATTCTCTTATGTTAGTGTCCTCATGTGCTTGCCTCCAGCCTGAGAGGATACTAACTTGAGTATCCTCAAGATGCTTGAGATGATTTTGTTTTACGTTTTCATGGGCCTAAGCTGGGCTCTATGGACCTAAGGAATCCACACATGCAATGACATGCTTATTAGTGTGCACGGTAGAATACATGAAGAAAAGAGCAAGAAAAGACAAAAATCCCTTATGAATGTAATCATTAATCTTATCTGACTATTTCTTATTCCCAAGTATAAGTTCAAGATACATGTAGATATATTAAACAAATCGTCCACTCCAGGGCCAGCCCAGAGATATACTAAATAATATTGATCAACGAATTTAGTTAAGCCAATTAAGAAAATAAATTCTATTGAAGTAAACTCCAATTTGTGAACAGCATAATGGATGCAATCACTGGATTTACCTTTTCAGGGTTTTTCTGCTACAGAGAAACTATATCTAGTGATTCCACAGTTAGAAAACATGATAGAAAGCATCATATCTTACCTATAAAATGATGCTGCCCATGACACACCTTGACTAGTTTTCTTGACTAAATATAGATGTATCTACACTGTTTACATTTGGCAACATCATCTACTGCTAATCGATTTTTCTTATTGTTAGAAATTATACCTAGAAAATGTCATTTTAATGCACAAAGTTCTCTTGTTAGGAATTATAAATTTCAAGCATCACTAATAGGAAAAAGATGAATTAAGATGTACTTTTACAAAGCTATAAGTCAAGAAAAAATTTAAACACTCAAGCCCATCTCCATAGTCTTTACTTTCAAAACCACATGTCATTTAGTGTTCTTTATTTGAAAACAAAGCAAGGTCCATTTACTTTTACAAATCTTATGGCCACAAAAGAAAATGATTATTAAATATATCACATGTCTGTCTATGAAAATGAAGTCATCAAATGTAATATCCTCCTTTCATTTATATTG